AATTAGAAGAAACTAAAATACTACAAACATTTTTAGGATTATTAAATTATGGTTGCAATTTTATTCCTAAATTAGGACAATTAGTAGGACCTTTGTATTCAAAATTAGGTAAACATGGACAAAAATATTTTAATACTTAAGACATAGAGCTAATTAAGAAAATTAAATCTCTAGTCACTCAGCTAGAACCCTTACAACTTCCCCTTGAAAATAGTTATAAAATAATCTAGACAGACGCATCAGCTCAAGGATGGGCATATTTACTTTTTCAAAGACCTCCAAAAGAATCTTCTCGAGATGAAGAACAAATTTGTCGCGATGTTACCGGAACTTTTAATAAAGTACAATCTACTTTACCTTCAACAGATCTAGAAATTTTAGGAGTAACCAACTCTATAGAAAAATTTCTGATATTCTTTGTTAAAGAATTTCTTATAAGAACAGATTGTGATAACATAGTTAAATTTGCAAACAAAGTAAAGCAATAGCGGATGTCTGCAAAGAGATGAATTTCCTTTATCGACTGTATTACTGGAAGATATTTTAAACCCATATTTGAACATGTCAAAGGAAAAGACAATTATTTAGCAGATATTCTATCCCGTTTACTAATTGATTGTTAAATTTTGCTGGAATGGAAACAAAGAGTAACAACAGTTATAGCCTTAAACCAGGCACTTCTAATCCTCTTTTGATTATCCAAAACCCAACTCAACAGTTCCGCGCTAGAAATAATCTTCTTCTTGACCAAAAACTTATTTTAGACAATATTTGGTTTTCTAAAAACAACCCCTATAGAACCCTCGTCAGAAATCTAAATACTTTAAGTAAATATTTTGTATCATCTAATGAAGCATATCAGAATTTACAGCAAGAACATAAGATAGTTATATCTCATTATAAAAAGTTGAATTTAGCTTATAAAAAAAGACAGAAAACCCCACAGAACTAACTATTTCTGAGCAAATGATTGATGAAGATGAAAATTTTCAGAAAGTTCAATTTCTGCAGGTACAAACCAAGTATGCCAAGTTATTACCCTTTTTCTCTTCAACATACAGAGAAATCCTGAGACAACAAGTTGAGCTCTTTCCTGATGACTTCAAGGATCTTATCATTGAAGAAGTCAAATCCGATGGTTTCAAGGAATGGGTTGACATCCAAAACTACCTCAGACCCGTTATAACTATTTTTTCCTACGATTTATACAAACAGGTAGCCTCATACCCATGGCCATTATCTTGTTAAATGTAGACATTGTTTTCTTCTATCCATTTGAAATAACCAGAAAAACCATTTTCTCTACAAAAACAACCATCTGTTATTTAAGCAAGCTGTTAGAATTAGGAATGATCTACAGCATCACCATACCAAAAGACATGTCATTAGAATACCTAGATTCTTTAAGTAATTTTCTTAACCGTTTAAATCAAGCCATTGCCTTCGAACAAAAGCTAACCCAAAATTTCATGCCAGAAAGTCCAATTCTCCTTCAAATCCACAATACTCCTCCAGCATGGGTAAAAGATGGAGCAATAACTCTGGGACATCATCGAATTTACATTTATTCTAATCCCACAGAAGTTAAAGTTCTTACCCAACATATTGATTTTGTAAATAACTTTCATAATGAGATAAAACCAGCTACCTTTAACCATTTGGTATACTATAAAGCCTATCGTCAAGTTAACCCAAGCTACAATCCTAGTTTTAGACTCTACGATCATAATATCAACATGGAAAATTTTGTCAAAGCAAGAATTCCTCATGTCATTAAGTCTCCTCCAGAGATTGAGATATTTCCAGAAGTTAAAGAAATAATAAATGAAGAAAAGATGTTAGAACAGTTCGATCTCACCTACAGAAATGAAGAAACTAGCTCACCAGACAGCACTGATGCTTATTTGGCCTGCATGCAGGAAAAAGAAAGAAATGACAGCCCAACAGATAGCACTACTGATATAAATTTGTCCAATATGCAAGAATTCTAAAGAAAAAGTAGATTCGCCACAGTGTACAGATAAAGGCAGCCCCAGCATCCAAGAAAAGTAGATTCTCAATAATGTATAGATTAAAGCAAATCCACCGAAAGCAGATTCTCAACAAAAGTTGATAAGACTCTTTAGAAGCAGACCTCAATAGTTCAGGAATAATTCAAGCTATCTTATATCTAAAGCATCTTGCATCTCAACCATCTATGTAGCATCTTCAATTTCAGCCGAAGATTCATCCCTCTCCTCTTCTATAAAAGGAGCCTCTCTGCTCAAACAAAGATCATTGAGTTTTAGAGCAACCAAGCTAAGAGCCATCAAACATTTTAGTCCTCTGCCATAAGCTTCTAGTGTGCTTTCTTTTGTGATTTCTTTCAGTACATATCTCTTTGTAAAATAGTGTGTGAGAGTATATCCATGTATAAACAGTGTGTATCCATGTATATATTTTCCATGAAATAAATCATCCTGTTTGCTCCTGTTCAAAAACTCTTTTTCTTTATTTAGTATTACTAGTACTTTCGGACAAAAGACTTCTATCAACAAAAGATCAAATATATAGATTTTATTTAGCCAGACAGTGTAGATCCTAGAATTTTCTTGAATCCAACCAGTACAAGCAGCCTTAGTTTTAATTTAATAATTTATTCTGTGAGTTGACTCGAACTATTGGCTTGTTGGCCCATTCTTTACCAGTGTTCAGACGTTTCTATAGGGCGTTATCAGAGCATTATTAGGTTCGGCAGTTATTTCTGTGATTTAATTGTTAAATTTATTCTATATTATTTTGCATGCTTCTATCCGGTTAGATCCAACTCAATTTTGGTATCAGAGCCTATACTGCTTCGTTAAATTTAATTTATATATAAGATTTTTTGTCTAAAGAAGTCTCTAAGTCCATATTAATTTACTGTGAAATTTTAATTCCATATTTAATAGTTTGTTCATAGATCTTTTACAAATTTAGTTCAAACTCTAAGATCAATATAACATAAAGTATTGTTTTGTTTAATTGTAATATAGTTTGTTGTGTGATACAAAGTATAAAGTGAAATTCATTTTAGAGAAATATTCTGGTGGTCCATTCAATTACTGAAACTTTAAGACCTTACCCCCATTTTATTATAGTTTTTGGGCCTTAAGCTCATCTATCGGTAAAAAAATTCCTTTTTCCTTTTTGACACGATGGTTGCGGTAGTGCTTCAACAAAATTTAGATGTGAGGGAGTGATGCTAGCACAAAAGTCACGTCTGTGCTTTGTATAGAAAAATTAAAATATTATATATATATATATTTGTATAGAAAAATATATAGAAGTTATGTAAAGCTTTTAAAGTTCAGAAATATCAGTCCACTCAAAATCACAGCCCAGTATCCTCACACCTGTGGACTGACCCGTAAATGGGGGTTCAACTGGTCAAGTCTCCAATCAATAATAACCTACTCCTTTGAATACTTAATAACGACTTATTTGTTACGCAAATAATGAATATTTTATAGCAACGCACTTTTATATATATATAGATATATATATATATATATATATATATATATAAATAATGATTCTAAATTAATATTTTTATCCTATTATAAAAAAAATAGAACAGAACCAATTTATAATGTAACCTTTATTACTGGTAAAGCTTAGTTATGTTGCAGGCGTAGTTTCAAATAAATAATCGCAGTTAAGAGAATTCAATCTTGAGACGTAATGTTTTAGAAGCATCTTGAAGTCAATTCCTTAGAATTATATATATGTACACCCACCAAATAGAGAGGGAAAAGGAAATTAACCAAAAATGAAGTAGATTTTGATACATTTTTATGCGCTTCGAAAAAAGAAAAACAAGAGCTTAGTCTATTAAATTGTGACAAGCAGAAAAAGGTGGATCTGAGTTATATTGAGTTGGGATGTTAATTTTTACAAATTAAAGCAATTTTATTCTAACGAACCCAAAAATCTGTTTTTGGTTAATTAAACCACAAACTAAACTAAATGGCAAATTTATTTTCAATTCCCCCAACAAACAAAATCATGATAAAATAATATTAAATTGATTTAATTGAAATTGACGAATTATTATTATTATTTTTTCTTCATAAATGTCTATCGTGGCCAACAATTCTTATGCATATTTATATGTAATTTTTTTTTTTTTTTTATTTTTAGAAAAAAAAAATATATATATATTTGTAGTCGAGAAGAGTCGATGTTAAGTCAAATCTCTACCTTCATGTGGGAAGCGTCCAGTTTCCTACCTTGTGATCGCATTTATAACATGGACATAGTGTGAGGATGCTCAAAGACCCCAGTTCTTTAAACTTCTATAAATCTCTTTCTTGAGTTTTTGAAAACTATTTACAAAGAAAATAAAAGTGTTGAAAACTCTTTCATGATTCGTCAATTTCAATTAAATCTGTTTTTGGTTAATTAAACCACAAACGAAACTAAATGGCAAATTTATTTTCAATTCCCCCAACAAACAAAATCATGATAAAATAATATTAAATTGATTTAATTGAAATTGACGAACTATTATCATTATTTTTTTCTTCATAAATGTCTATCGTGACCAGCAATTTTTATGCATATACATGTAGTTTGTAAGCCCATAAATGGAGAGTCGGGCCCAAACAATATGCACATCAACATGATTCGAGTGGCATTTGGGAGGTCCCCTACCAAAGGGAGTAGTCTCAACCCCACTTTTCAAATTTTGAATGGTCCATCGAGAAATTATTTAATGATGTTGGACCATTGATACTTTCCGAATGAAAAAATAGTTTCATAAAAATATATTAGTAATATGGTATTACAACGTGTGGAGGATTGTTATTGAATTAGTCTATTAATTATCAAATAAATTATGACCATTTAATAATTTTTTTTATCGGTATCATTATTATCAATCATAAGCAAAATGATGGACGCTCCTAAAATAGATTGCCCTGACTGATATCCGAATACACTGGCATCGTTGAAAGCAATCAATTGGGACTCACATCCGATGAGTAAACAAAGTGTCGTTGTTTATGGTTACAATGGTAAAATACAACAAATCCAACATCACAAGCTTTCTGTTTCTAGTTTTTATTGTAATTTAACATTGCAAACTTAACAAAGCCATATATATATGCCACAATAATTAACAACCCAATTAACTAGTAAATCTTTCACATTCATGATCTGCTCATTCCTCCTTCAACCACCGGCGGCAATTCTATTCCACGATTTTGTCTCTCCACGTTTCCTTGCCACCCTAAACATCAATAAGGGTAAAATTAAAAAAAAAAAAAATCAACAATAATCCATGAAATAAGTAAAACAGTAAGAGTAATTCGATTGTTATAAGTAAATACTTACGTCACGATGACATCAATATTGAGAATGACGTTATTCTTCACTCACATAAAAAATAGTCGGAGTATCTAATTATCCGATTCTGTATCATAACTTACGCAAATAGAGAGATAGATTACCAATGATCATGTCGACTCCGCGGTTTTTGAGCTCACGGTACTCTTGGCACAAGGCGCAAGACTCGCAGCAGCAGTGAATCAAGCAGTCGTTGCAGGGGCTTTCGTGCAGCGCGTATTGCTGCCTCATCTTAGAACGATAGAAGCATGAGTAACAGCACGGACAACCAATCAGACATGCTATTAACGCGTAAAGCGCCCCACTTGTCCCACAAGCTGCACACACACCACACAAATTCAACTCATCACCACGACCACCACACACACAGACACACACACACACACACATATATATATGTCTTTGATTTGATATTAAAGTTCACTTATATGCGCGTTAAAGGATAACAAAAGTATTAAAGTTTTAAAATTTTATAAAAAAAAATCATAATCTTACTTATCCTTTAATTAGGTATGATCAAATGAAGCTATCATCATTCTTTATCTTTGACTCTCTCATATGGCTTTGCTTTAAGTTATTTTAATATGGAATTCTTCTAATATGCGCCAAATCATCCTGTAATACATGAACTATATATATATACTTTGTGCTCAAATTGTGATAATAATTCAAAGGTGAATGACTGGCGGATAAGAACCCTGAGCTGGATGATAATATATATAATTATATACATACATACATATATATATATATATATATATATATATATATATATATATATATAACATTAACCCATAAGCTACAATTTTTTGTTCCTTCTACTTACATGTTGAACCTTTGTCCACAATCTCTGCAATCCGTCCAAAAGTAACACATGGACACCATAATGTCATGCAACCTGTAAATTAAAGGGAAAAAGTTAAAAAGAGAACTATGCGTGTGTGTGTGTATATATGAGCTTTAACTTTAGAATCCCAATCTCTTTGGACGGCACGTGTCATTCACGCTCCGCCATGACTAGCAACATATTGGGAAAGAGGAGGCTTACAGTTAGGGACATCGTCGAAGCAGTTGCAGAGACCGGTGGACCAAGCAACCTTGGTTTTGGGTGGAACATGAATGGGTGCTTGTGGGTTGTCTGAATAGTAATCTTCCTTCGAGCTCACTGGAACGCCGGTCGTCACGGACTGAGCACCGTGGTATGATAGTGGTGCCGACGGCGGCGGAGATGAAGAGAATTTCTGAAATTCATTCGGGTTCGAATAATTCATGATTGCGGTGGAATGGTGGGTGAAAGGTGAACAAAGCTAGAGAGATGCTTTTGTGACAATGTTGTGTAGTTTGTGGTGTAAATATATATATAGGAAGAGTCAATGTTGACAAGTCAACGAAACTATACGATAATTCGTCACCGCGTAATCAATAAGAAGTTGGGGGAGTTAGGCCCCCAACTTCTTATGCACGGAGGTATCACTTTTTGTGCATTAGGTATTACTTTTTGTTACACAATAAATACAAAAAAGTAATATTTGATGTACAAAAAGTGATATATGCATGCACAAAAAATGATATTTCAGTGAAGATAAATAATATTTTTTCATTTTTTTTTTTTTTTTTAAATTATGAGACTTTGATTCTATCAAATGATAAATATATATCATTAGAATTATTTATATGTAATAATTCTTAAAATAATTGTGTATGTATTTTCAAAATGGTAGGAATTGATTTACCAAAACAAAATAGGAAAGAGATAATGTTGACAAGTCAAGCGAGCCCCATGGAAATTTACAGGGGACTTTCGTCACCGCGTGGTGGCAGTCATTTTCTAGGCAGGTGGGACCTAGTTATTGCTTGGTACTTGCATCCCCCATTATCTGTTATTTATTTATTTTTTAAAATATAATTTATAGTGTTTATATGTGTATATTACGTAACATATCATGTTTGACGCCGAAGTGCAACGTTAGAAGGCTGTTTAGACTTTAATTTAGATTTAATTTAAATGCTTAGATTTTATTAAATTTTTATTTTTTTTATTATTGGATAATCTCTTCAAGGAAAAGAGAGTGTTTGACTTAACCTTCAACGTCATTCTATTATTCAAAATAATCCAAGATGTTTTATTGATTAGATTATGATTGCTCACCTTTCGGCTAACTGTTTTGGGCTGGATTGGGGCCTTGTTTGTGTTGTCAATCATCGTCGCTAATGGACTTGGAGGAGCCCCCAATTAAAAACTGGGAGAGTTCGATTAACTATAACATCACAAAAAAAATTCCATCTTTACCCTCAATTTGGTCATAGTTGTTATTTTTATTTATTTATTTATTATTATTCTAATTTTTTTTTGGTGCCAAAAAACAAACATTACACGAGCACTAAAGAACAAAAAAGGTGTTAAAATCAAAAAGAAAAATATGCGTTAGAGTTACTATTTATGATAATTTTGAGAGATCTTTAATTTATTTGGACGAGAACAGTTTTTATTAATTAATGAAAATCTGCGTGGGTTCGAGGCAGTAGCAAGGGGATGTCACCCCATCCCATTCTGTTTAGGTAGGTAAATTACTAAATTAATATATATATATATATATATATATATATATATATATATATATATAGTTAGTTAGTTTCAGAAATCTTAGGTCACATTCCCTCATTTTTCTCAACCGTACGTTAAAAACAGGTTGTCTTATTTTTTATTTAAATATTATATCAAAATATTATTATACATGTCATTTTCTTATCAGACCAACTCATTTATAAGAAAGGAGTTCCTTCTTATAGGTATGAAGGTGTTAGGGGTTTTTGAATATGAGTGAATATTATAAATGATAGAGGGTGATATCTAAATATAAGATACAATGGAGCATTAATCAAAAGTCTCCTTCTTTCATGCCATTAGGCTTTTATTTATAATCTCAAACCATTATCTAAATTTCCAAGTCTCTCGAGACTTTATCATGACCTTATTGGCTTTTATAGGGGCATTTTGGTCCTCTGGCTCGAGAATAAGTACCATTACATTAAATACACATCTTTTCAAAGACGGCGGTAACTGGGATTTATTAATATGATGATCACTGTTGCAGTCGAGGCGTATAGTATCATTAGTGGTACTAGACTCGAGTCCAAACTGAGTGAAGCCGCGCCGGGGGAGGGGGTGTGCCACGTGGCTCAATGGGTTAGATACCCTACAGAAGGCAAGTCTGGTTCCTTTTATTCCGGCACCAATCCACGAGTGTAATTTATTTTTCTTTGTAGTACGTAGGGTCAAAACTTGGCACTCTATGATCTAGGACCAGCACTAACGCATGCAAAATTTCTTTTTACTACTGTCGTACTTTATTATATTCCTCATTTTGATGTACAAAACTAAAAAAATTAATATTATATACACCCTAGGGCTCACAGCCACAAGACATAAAAAGTCCAATTTGGATTAGAGAGCAGTCCTACACAATTCGCGTGAACAAAGATGGAAGCAAGACGTATTGTGAGGTTGAATAGTCGTCTTTGGCACGATTCAGACTGTGGATGTTGAAACAGTCAATCGTCGTTTTTGTTTTTTTTTTTTTTACCAAAGATTTGTAAGGAAAAATAGAAGTTATGGTCTTACAAAGTCGGTCAACTCAAAATCACTAGCCCCCACACGAGCGATCACTGTGGACTGAACCGTCAATGTTGGGTCAAGTTGCTATCAATAACACCGCGACTTGTATTTGTTACACAAATATTAATTTTTTTTTTCTTAAACACAATTCTAAATTAATAATTTTCAATTCATTACAGCCATCCTATTATGATGGAAAGCGTTGAATATTTATTTATTACACTTTTCAGAACTAGTGAATTGTTAACAACTGCGTACCAAAAAAAAAGAAAATTAAATAAATAAAAAATAGAAAGGAGGAGGAGGTGGAACAGAACCAACCTAAAATATAAGTAACAAATTACAATATAAATATACCGAGTCACACTCACACAAGCCAAAATATGAGCGAGCAGTATTAAGACACATAATATTAGTAACAATTAAAAAAAAAAAAATTATAACATATTTTTTTATAAAAAAATAATATTGTTTAAATTTTCATACATGAAATAATTACTTTAAAAAACTGTATAATTTACAACTCCTTTTATTCTTAATTCTGTAGATTTCAAATCACTTTGCTCAATATTAGGTCCATTTTAATAATTGCCATCCATAATAAATGTCAAGTATAATTTGTCATTAACTATGAAAAAAAAAAAAATTGTCATTAATTCAATGAATGATCAATCGTTTGTGAATTTGAGGATTCATAACTTGAATTCATGGAAGGAGTTGCTCTTAGAGCGCCAATTTAGACGTGGAGTTGCACGAAAAAATTTGTGACGGGGAAAGTCTGAAAAATACCCATATGGTTTTAAATTTGTGCGACTTACACCCATTTAGTTAGATTTATTTATATAAATCCCTACAAGATATAAAAATGTGCAATTAAGCCACTTCTGGTACTATTCCAGTGAGAATTAGACTTGAGTTGGTCATGTGCCATGCACATGACCATTTTAAACCTTTTATTCCGGAATTGCCCTTTTAATATTCTTTTATTACCCCTCACCATATATATATATATATATAGTATCAGGGAAAGTAGTTCAAGTTACAAGAGGCTCCATTGTTGAAAGTTTCGGTTGATCTTTCCTAGCCTTTTGATTTACATGGTGAGGATAACGTGATCTGGCACAAGCTGCTTCAGGGTTAGTTGAAAGTGCCTCAACTTCGCTAGCACTTTATTAATAATCTAATAAGTGGAAAGAAATATGGGCTTTGAACTTTTGATTCTTGTAAATTTTGTAGTTTGCAGTTCCAGAGAGAGAGAGAGAGAGAGAGAGAGAGAGGGAGGGCCGGGGGGGGGGGGAGGGGGGGTAAGTTCAGACTTAGTTTGCAGAACAAGAATTATAGACCCTGATTAGTTCATTTAGAAAAAAAATTAAAACAAAACCCATACATACTAGTTAGCAGTTGGGCGGGCCGGGGGGGGCGGGGGTTGTGGGCAAGCTTGAGAGTTGAGAGACAACGGCTGAAGCTTGCAAACGACGAACCCAAACTAGAACAGTGGGCGATGGAAAATGAATGATATGGGTTTTGATTTCTTGAACAATCTGAAATGGAAATTGAAAGATATGTGTTTTGATTTTTGGAATAATCTGAAATGGAAACTGAAAGATATGACTTTTAATTTTTTGAACAATCTGAAGTGATATGCCGATATGGATTTTGAACTTTTTTTTCCTAGTTAGTTTTGAACTTTTGATTCTTGCAGACAGATAGATATATGGGTTTTTGAACTTTTGATTCTTGTATGGTTTTGTAGTTTGCAGTTGCAGAGAGAGAGAGAGGTGGCAAGATCTGAGTCGAGAACGAGAATAGAGATGGAGTATTGATAGAGAGCTATTTTAGTCTTTTCACATATTATATTATATTATTAGTTTTTTAAATCATAGATAGAGGGTTATTTTAGTCTTTTTGTAGCTCTGGTACCGATCAATAGCGGTCAATACCCAAAATGCACTTATTCGCACAATTTTAAAGTATAGAAGAGGTGAACAAACAATGGGGGGTTATACGCACTATCTCGATATCACTAGGGTGTAAAGTGCACGTGACCCAATTTGTGTCATATGTATTTATATATATAAATACCTCACCAAATACGAGAAAGAAAAGGGGATGAACAAAAAATGAAGTAGATTTAACACATTTTTCTGCATTTGGAAGGAAAAAGTAAAGAGATCGAAGGAAAGAGAAAGCAAAAGCGTAGCGTAGCCTATTAAGTGGTAAATATTTTACTTCATGATCGGTTCATTCCTCCTTCAACCACACTTAGAATCATTTCTGGTCTTTAATTCAACACAATGGTGACAAGTCTGCCACACCCTGAACTTCAACCCCCTACAACCACAACCACAACCACAACTGACCCAATTTCCTCACCACCACCACCTCACGCGTAGTCAGGAAGTTGCAAATTGTTGATAATTGTGCCCTTTCTATGTTACTGTTAGTTGCTGGTTAGGGTTTGTTATATTTTGAATTTAAGGGCTTGTTTGGAGAAGTCCCATTGTACTTCCTTTCTATTTTCCTTTTATGAAGCCTCCTTTGGGCTTTCTTTGTAAGGACTGGATCGCTCTCTGTGGCCCGTATGACTTTGGGCCTCTAATGCTGGACTTGGGTATGCCCCCAATTACTTTTGTAAATTTTTTTCTTTATTATTCTTACTTACCCAAAATATATATATATATATATATATATATATATATATATATATATATTGTAGGACAAAAAGAAGAAAGAAACGACTGATTGGACATTAAGGAAAAAAGAAGGAAGAAGCAAAAAAAAAAAAAAAAAAAAAACCTTATTTGACTTGTATATATTCTTTTCTTAATTTAGGAACACAAAACATGTTGACTAGGGCTCTCTTGTGACTTGGGCAAAAATCGAAAGGGTCGTGATACTCGGGTAACTCAGGCTTATTTCTTAGACAGAATCTACGTGGCTTTTACGTGGCAGTCTAATGGTCAAGTTGTCAAGTTTGGAAGAGAGAGAAAGAGGAGAGTTTGGTGGCGACGCACTATTAGTCCTCATCAACACCTTCGCCGTCGACGCCACGCCGGAGGTTTTCACCCGACTACGACGGCGCTAAGGCCGATGCGTGGTCTTGTGGGGTGATCCTTGTGTTTCTTTTCTCTCCCTCCTCCCCTTCTTTCTCTCTCTACATGCACTCTCTCTCTCAATCTGAAAACCCAAAATTAGAGTTCTGTGGTTTAGAAATAATCAACCCAAATGTGTTTTTTTTTTTCTCTCTCCTCCCCTTCTTTCTCTCTCTACATACACCCTCTCTCAATCTGAAAACCCAGAATTCGAGTTATGTGGTTTATAAATAATCAACCCAAAATCAGGAAAGAGAAACGATGAACCGATGAAGCCTCACCTATGCAAACAACAACGGAAAAATCAGATCAGTTTATTACTGTGAAGGCAAAACTCGCGACAGCCACCGGCGAAATTAATAGATACCTAGCAAATGTTGCAGAGAGGAAATTGTTTAGGGGAAGGGCGGAGGAGGGAGAAGAGGTGAGAGATAGGGAAGTTGGAGAGGTGGTGAGAGAGAGAAAAGAGGAGAGATGGGAAGATGAAGGGATTGTATCCGCTTTTTTTTTTTTATTATTTATTTTTAGAAGCCACCTAGGATTCTGCCTAACAAATAGGCCAAATCCATTAGTGTAAATATCATTTTCCAAATTGAAAATTAGACCACAAACGAATTTAATTTACTAACCCAGAATCAATTCTTTGTGATTTAACAAACAAGTCTTAAGTAGATCATGCAAAATTCGCCTCCTGACCATACATAACATAACCACTGCTATCAAGTTTTATTATTTTTTATTTATGAAATTGTCAATATCAAATTAATTGTAAAATACAATAATTCATTACAAGCAATCTGTTTCTACTTCAACATTGCAAACTGAACAAATCCAAAATGAAGAGAGTTTTGCCACTATAATTAGCAGCCCAATTAAGCAAATATTTTACATTCATGATCTGCTCATTCCTCCTGCAACCACCGGCGGGAATCCCACTCCACCATTTTGTCTCTCCGCGTTTCCTTGCCACCCTAAACATCAAGAAATGGCAAAATACCCATCAACAATAATCCATGAAATTAAAAAATATGTATAGTAGTTACAAATATATATATAGAGAGAGATTATATATATATATATATATATACCAATGGTCATGTCGACTCCGCGGTTTTTGAGCTCGCGGTACTCTTGGCACAAGGCGCAAGACTCGCAGCAGCAGTGAACCAAGCAATCTCCACAGGGGTTTTCTGGCAGCTTGTATTGCTGCCTCATCTTAGAACGGTAGCAGCATGAGAAACAGCACGCACAACCAGTCACAACTGCTATTAGCGCGTAAATCGCCCCACTCACGGCACAAGCTGCACACAAAAGTCACCCACCACATCAAGGTTAATATCAAACTTCTACATATAATATATATATATATATATAACATGCGTATAAATGTATTACTCCCTTGGTTTATGTTTGGGGAGCTGTGCATTTTATTAAAATTGTCATGTTCACGATTATTTTATGAGAAGGAGAAAGTATAGGCCAATAAGCTGCACACAACATTTGTTATTGTAGCTACTACTTACATGTTGAACCTCTGTCCACAATCTCTGCAATCCGTCCAAAAGTAACACATGGACACCAGCAGGTCATGCAACCTGTAAAAGAAGAGAAGTGAAACAGACTATATATATATATGTGTGTGTGTGTGAGCTTTAATCTCTTAAGACGGCACGTGTCATTCACGCCCGACTAGCAAGGTATTGGGAAGAAGAAGGCTTACAGTTAGGGACATCGTCGAAGCAGTCACAGAGACCGGTGGACCAAGCAACCTCGCTTTTGGGTTGATGGTGAATTGGTAATTCGTGTGGGTTGTTTGAATAGAAATGGTCCGTCGAGTTCACCTGAACACCGGTTGCCACGTGTTCATTTGGGTTCGAGGATATCATGATGATTCTGCTGGGTAAAGAGGAGGAATAGAAAGAAAGAGAGAAACTGTGTGGGGGATAAATTAAGATAGAGATACTTCTGGGATACATGTATAGAGTTTGTGTCTGTATATATATATATAAATTAAGATAGAGATACTTCTGGGATACATGTATAGAGTTTGTCTGTATAATATATATATATATATATATATATATATATTGGAAGTATTGTTGACAAGTCAAGCGGCCTCATGGTCCATCACAACATTTACAGGAAACTTTCCTCACCGCGTGGTGCCAGCCAAAGCCTCAGCAGGGTGGGCCAGGTCCATTTAAGTTTCATTGAATACACTCCTGATAAAAATGTGAGTCGACTTTAGAGCCCAATTATTTTTCACTCTTTAGAGTTCGGGGCTTATTTGACTCTTCACAACTCATAAAATCTTCATCTTTATTCTCATTTTGATCACATTTGTCCAACTTACGCATTCAGTTTCTTCTACACCTTAAATATAGTTACTCATATTCCTTTTTTTCTTTTTCTTTTTTGGGTAATTAACTCATATTCATTTTCACTTCAGGAACAATGCCAAACAAATTAAGCTAGCCATGCCCATGTAGAACAAACTGAGTTTATATTGACCGTTTGAACTTTTTGTAGTATTTATTGGTACACTAATTAATTATTATTTATTAATAACATATTGAAATACATTTCTTTCAACATATATTGTGAAATTTTTGGATTCTTCATCAAGCTACTATAGAATGGATCCACATAGGTGTACAACTAATGTTGGGCAAACACACATACTATATTTTTTCAATTTCTTTAATTAAATTTTTTTTAATTTAAAATTTAAAGTGCTGAATTCGATATTACAAACAAAATATTTATAAACTTGTCCTTTTTGTATCTGGGTACCACACATGAAAAAAAGAAGAATTTCAGACTATTCAAAAATTCTATCATTGTCAAAAGAAGAATTTCCACATATGACAAGCTCCACTGGAATGGGAGTTACCTCCTCCGATGCCTCCGGACAAGTTTGTAACCATCCAAAACCATGATTGAATCAGTTACAAATTGTGGTAGGTGGTGGATACATGCACCGTAGGGTTCTAAAAGTATTGTTGACATTTGGATGTCACTCGTACTCACATAAATCAAACGAATACATTTCAAAGTTTAGCTACTTATTATTATTCTAAAAATAAAAAATAAAAAATATTACCCAAGTTCAATAATAAAACATATAATATATATATAAGACCAAAATGTTGACGTGGGCATAAAAAATACTATTTGTCTTTACTAAGGTATCACTTTTAAGCGCATAGATATCGCTTTTTGTGCATAGAAGTATCACTTTTTGTGTATCGGGTGTCACTTTGTTGTGCAACACAAAAAGTAGTACCTAATGACAAAAAATGATACATGCATGTACAAAAAGTGGTACCTATGTACCTAAAAGTGGTACCTGAGTGAGTGTAAACAGTATTTTTTCATATTTTTAATTTTTCGAAACTATGAGATTTTGACTCCATCAAATAATAAATATGAATCATTAGCACAATTTATATGTAATAATTTATAAAATAATTATTTATGTATTATTTAAAATAGTAGGAATTGATTTACCAAAAATATATATATATATACACAGGAAAGAGACAATGTTGACAAGTCAAGCGAGCCCCATGGGAATTTATGGGGAACTTTCGTCACCGCGTGGTGGCAGCCATTATCTAGGCAGGTGGGACTTAGTAATTGCTTGGAACTTCAAAAGAAAAATATAAGTTATGGTCAGAGAGTGACTGTGTGTCAGTGTCGCCGCGGGGGGGGGGGGGGGGTTACATCAATAGCTGTATCAATAAATTTCATGAAAAGAAAAATAATAATAGTATAATCTTTCCCAATACTTGGTATATTTTCAACATAAATAATTTTCAAAAAAAAGATGGAGAGATTGTTTAGACAATGCAAACATTTCCTAAGATAAGTTGGTATCTAAGTCTACAACTTAGATTAACTGATATCCAACTCCAAATCAGACGACGAGATGGTATATATATTTTCAATTAAAGATTCATATGTCACTTCTAAATTTAGGGTTTATTTGAATTAATTAAGGATATGAAAACAAACTGATAGAAGACTAATTGACGGAGATGGAGGAATTCCGGGTCAACCCGAACCGTCAATATAAATATAAATATATGGAAACCTTGATATGCCACGGGAGTGAGTATTGGACCGTCAATGGCTTAATACCATGACTAGGATCCTTTATTATAAACTGATCAAGAAATATTTTTTAAATTGGTAACTTTAAAATTCGACAGAAAAAAAAGGACGTTAAAAAATATCAGACGTATACAGAAAATAGACAAGTATTAATTTCCAAAGCAAGTGGGTCTATATATTTATGTGGACAAAAGTCCTATCTGATCTTATTATTTTGGATAAAGTACACTAACACCCTCTCAGGTTTGCTAAAAGGACACCCAGATAAAACTTAGCTTGTTTTGGGACAAAGACACCCCTTGTTATATTTGACAGCCAAACATAACAAAATATCAAAAATAATTAAATGACCTAATTTGCCCTACATTATTTGATTAATTTAAATAATAAAATATCAAAAATAATTAAATGACCTAATTACCCTTCTCCTTTCTCTCTCTATACACCGATATAACAAATATATATATATATATATGCACACACACATGTAATAATTTTTGCCGCCGCCGAGCAGAGCATCTCCACCGTGGGTGGGTTCATCACCGCCAAGCAGATCACCTCCGCCGAAATATATATATATATATATATATATATATATATATATATATATACACATAAATTTGTTGCAATGTCCGAATACCAAGTACTGTCTCGATCCACAACCAGATCCACAACGGCGGTGAATAGCTCGGTCGTGGATGGTTTCGTTATGGAGATGGTGGCATGGGCCGGCGAGCAAGGAGGCTTTGGACGGTGGTGTGAACTCAGCCGCGATGGGGTGGTTCGCGGCGTGATGGCAGTGGCGAGATCGGGCGATGGAGTGCTCAGTTGTGATGGTTTGACAGGCGATGGAGGGGTCGGCTGTGGAGAGGTCGACTGGTGAGGGGAACAGCCGGCAAGCTTGGAATTGAATAGGCAGTGCTTATAATGGTTATGCCCGGCGGTGAAGTGGCGGCAGCGGCGATGGACAGGTTCGGCTGTGAGCTTGCGGCTTCGGATGATGGCGGTCGGCGGGACTGAACGGCGAGACGGTGATGGGCTCGGTACGGCTGTGGAGAAGTCGGTTGACTCGGTCGTGAATGACTCGCGGCGGTGAGGTTGAGGCTTCGCTAGGAATGGCGAGGTCGGCTGAGATGGAACGACGGAAAAGGGTGGGCGACGGGCTGTGGAGAGGAGTTTGATATATATATAAAGCTGAAAAAATTATTATATTACTTGAAGAAAATCAGTGTTTAAGATGAAGATGGGAGAAAGAAGAAGGAAGAAGGAAAGATTGGTTTGTAAGTAAAGGTTAAAAATGTAATTTTAACCTTCAAATTAGTCAATATAAAGGTCAAAGAGCAAAAATGTCAATTCATTATTATTGGGGTGTTTTTAGTATCTGTATCAAACTTGAGGGGCACCTTTGTCCCAAAATAGACTAAGTGTTGTTGGGGGTGTCCTTTTGACAAATTGAAAGAGTGTCAGTGTACTTTACCTATTATTTTTTTGTGGAAAAATTTGGCGGAATTTTTCCAATTCTTCGTCCCATTGGCCCAAGCAAAGGAGAGAATATTGGGTACCCCAAGGGTACCCCGTCAGCATTGACACCTGCTACCCCAATTCAATTAAAACATGACACGTGGCTAACTTTCCACATCAGCATCATGCTCAACATAGCAGCAAGCCACTAACGGAGACGTCGTCAACTTTCTTTCTCTCTCCTCAGCCCTCCATCCCACTTTCTCTCTCTCTCCTCGTTGCTTTTTTCAGAGAACCAAGTATCCCACTTTCTTTCTATCTCCTCATTGCTTTTTTCGGGGAACCAAGTTATGGATTGGGGCTGAGACGAAATTCTAATTTCCCACATAACAATGGTTACAATGAGTCCCGTTCTCTCTGTTATTTCTCTCATGAGTTTTTGAGGTTGATTTGCAAGACTTCCCTGTAGGTTCTCTGAAATTAGCTTTATACTATTTTTGGTATCACCTATAGGATAATCCTCGCTTCTCCTGTGAGGCAGCGAATTCCAGGTTGGACTTCTGGGACATTATAGCATGCTGCTCGGAGTTCTGGACCAGCAGCTCTATGTATGGCTATCAAAAGGACACCCAAAATTACGGTAGAGTTCATTGAAAACAAATTCATTAGTAAGGTGTTAAAAATACCTCCATCAGCACCACCACCTCCAAGCAATTGGCTCATTAATTTGCTGGAGCAACCTATATAAAATATCCATCCAATTAAAGAAAAAAAAAAAAAAAAAAATCTATATTATGTAGCATTTGTTCTTGTTGATTTAGCTGGTGTCATCAAATTAAAATACAAATTTTGGAAAGAATTTTACTTCACTGACTTGAATTCGGCAGAATCCTTGGATAATATTGGCCAAGGTGATATTTGAAAATTTTATTTCGAGCTAAATTGGGGAATTCAAACCCCGGTATAACTCTAGTATCTGAATGTACCCCTAAAGTAGGAGTATAATTTTGTAATCCCTTGTTGTGCAATTAACTAATTGCAGTATCTATTTGAGGTGTATTTGGAAATCCCACGAACATTGAATGGTTCCATTATCTTATGCCATGTGCAATTTCAGGCAAGGATTTGGATGATGGGCCATCCGAGAAGTACGTTGATTGCTGAGAATCCGGCGAAGAACGTGATGGCGACGGCGAGAGAGGATCGGCGGCAAAAACTGAATCGGCGATGTGCAATTTCAGGTAAGGATTCCTGGTTCGGCCGGCTGGTGCAGCGATGACGATGGCGATGGCGGCATGGCCGGCGATGGGCTGTGGAGAGGTCGGTTGTGACCTTGCGGTGCGGCACCGGTGGGCAAGAATTGGCCGGCTGGCTTTGCCGGTTTTGACACAAGCGGCCGACAACCGATTCACTTACAAAACCTATACTGGTTATCTAGCCTTGTGTTCAAAATCCTCATTTTTTTGTTCATTATTGAGTGATTAAAAAGGGTTTGGATGGAAGTTATTGGGTCTTTGTTTGTTCGCACAGGGAGTCCAATCCGGCTTTCTTGTTGTGCATACCAGCACGTTTGACTTGGTACTCGTTGATGGTGATTCCGACGACGTTCACGCCGGAGTGGACGGTGATGGCCACCAACATTATTTCTAGTGGCCCACACATACTGCTAGTTCACTTCAACCAACGTTGAAAAGATCATGTTCCAATATTGAAAAATCAAGAAGAGTACGGCAAGGCAGAGTACAAAAGTATAGTAGTACTACCGCAAATATCATGTTCCATTTTCATTTCTTACAAACGTATCTTTCTAATTTTTTTCAAATACATATATTTATATATATATAAGGACCTCCTAGTATTGGTGCCACTAAGCATTTACTGAACAATTTTTATTTATTTATTTACTGAAACAAGTTTTTTTTTTTTTTTTTTTTTAAAGTGCATTCAGTGAACAAGTTGCTTGAAGGAATTGAGTTAGCTGCATGTGGAATTGGAAAAAGAGATAATCCTAGATTATTATTTGAGGAGTATTGTGTTTGGGAATGTTCCTCCTAGCTAGTTGTATTTTCTCTTCAAATAATATCTCACTTACCAAAATAATAATAATAATAATAATAAAGTAAAAAGGAGAGAAGCAAGAGCCAAGGTGGTCCAAACCCATCAAAACTTTCTCAAGTCCCATTTTCTAGAAGCACTTGTTAGCTAGCCCAATCACATATGCAGCCAAGTGAGCATAGCCAATCACATTTTCATCATTATAGTAAAAATTTGCAACCAAGTTTCACAGCGATTTCTTTTATCCTGAGCTAGCATCTTCTTTTTGGTGGAAAATCTGCCAGAGACTTTTACAAGTCTTCTTAATCTTCTATTTTTTGGGCTCGACTTTTACATATTTTACTTGTATTTGATTTGTCATTACACTAATACTAAACGCGATTTATTCTACAATATTGGTTTTTACCTTACAATAGAAGTATCATAAATTTTCTTTAAACCAATCCTCACAGTTTATGACAATAGGTACACACACCAAAATTTTTATGGATTTTCTTAAATGTGTATCTCCTCAATTACAAGTTAAATTTAGCAAATTAAATCAATTTTAACCTTTAATACTACTTATTTTTCACTCATATTCTCCACTACCGCAGGGACTATTAGAAACAACCAACTATAGTTCACATGAGTTATTCTCGTCAGATGGGCATCCTGACTCCATTTATCGATCTTCAACATCTTTGCAGGATATAGAGCTCTCTGGCCCAGGTGAATAACTTATGTTCTTGTAAAACTTAATATAGGTTGGCTTCCATCTTTTAAGATATATATACGTATGTATATATATATAGACAGAGAGTGTATATGTGGTTTTAAAGCTAAATATGCTATCAGCGAAACTTTGATGTTATCAGTTGTACACTATTAATGTATCAGAGCTTTGAAGAACTTTGATGTTAATTTCTTCAAGAAAACAACGTGGTGTTGTTCTGTCTTTTACACAGGAAATGATTGTGCACTCAAATAGATGGTGCTTATTGTGAATTGATGTTAATCCTATAAATGTCATTAGGAAGCTACGATGTTTTTTATTTTAAAGCATATGAAGATGTCTAGACATTTTCGACACGCATATTGGTAACGATCAGTGGAAAACGCAAAACAGAAGTGAAAAGTTAGACTTCTTTAACTTAGAAACAATGTGATCCAACATTGGTCGTTTATTGTGTAGTTCTTCCCATGAACTTAGGTTCCTAAATGCTCTGCTCTGAATGTGCAAAAACTTGAAACTTCTGGTCAATTAAGCTCAATTAAGATGACTATGGCATTGATTTTCTAATGTTGCAATATAATAATAAACAACAATATGTTATATGTGTGTGTAAATATATTAGATAGGATTACTATTATGATTGTTTAAAAAACAGCCTGATGCCTAATGTATAGGCACCAATGTAGGATACTTAAACAATAGTATAAGAAATAATTTGCATTCTAAAAAGGCTTGAGGTTAACAAAAGGGCACCAAGAAGATTGTTTAAAAAAAATCGGGTACTTGACAATAGTATGAGAAATAATATCCATCCTAAAAGGCTTGAGGTTAAAAATTTATAGCATTATACCACATAATGCTCCTTCTAACCTTGAAAAATGATAAGCCAATCACAACATACTCAAGTTCATTTATGGCTCTCTCTTTTTGAGTAACTTCAAGGCCCTAACAAAAATCTTCTTTCTTAGCTTTTTGGGGAGTTCAATTTCCTATTTCCAATCTTTCTGTTGATATATTTTTGTTGAAAATTTGGAGATACTATTGATTCGTCATTTCATTTGATTAGTTGGGATAATTGAAAATTTTAGGAATGTTACTTGGTAAAATTTCTTGCACAAGTAGCATTTTCATGACAAGTTAATTTTCATTGAAGAATTGGAACTTATCTAGGCTTACTCTTCAAGGTAGACCTGCTCAAAGCCTATGATACCCTTAGTTTGCCTTTCCTTCTTTGATGTACTCACCCTCTTGAATTTTCCCTCAAAATTTATTGATTGGATTTCCACATGCATGTCCACTGCCAGGGTTTTTTTTTCTATCCCCTACCTGTTTGTTCTTGCCATGAATACCCTTTCTGAAATCACAAACAAACTCACTTTTGAGAACCCTGATTTTAGTTTTCACTGGAGATGCCAAGCTGTGAAAATTTCTCACTTGACATTTGCTATGATGTGTTAATGTTCAGAAAGGGTGATTTCAATTTAGCAAGAAGCCTCAAAGAGTCCATTGATACATTTTCTGACCTTTATGGACTCAAAGCTAACCCAAACAAGAGCCAAAAAAATTTCAGTAATGTCCATGTCCATCTTCAATATTTTTGGAATTTCCATTGGCTTCCTCCCAGTTAGATACCTAGGCATCCCTCTGATTTCATCAAGGCTCTGTGTTGTTGACTGTAAAATCCTCATAGACAAAATGCTCGCTAAGATATCAAATTAGACCAACAGGAGCATCTACTTTGCTGGGAGACTCCAACTCATCCAAGCTACCTTGCTTAGCATTCATTCCTTTTGGACAAACATTTTCATTCTTGCATCCAAGGTCATCCAGGGCATGAACATGATCCTACAAATATATTTGTGGTCTGGACCTTCCAATGCCAAGGTTCAGAGCCGAACAATGCTGCAGCCCAAAGAATGAAGGTGGTTTGGGCATACCTAATCTCTCTACATGTAATAGAACATCAATCATGAGGCATATTTGGTTCGCGACATCCTTTTTGGGACGGAGGAAGTATCTTTTTACAGATTATTACCAAAACATATGGACAGAATGGACTGATATTCACTTACTCAAACACAGAAGCTTTTGGGATTTGAAAATCCCTACCAACTGTTATTGGTTTTGGAGAAACCTACTTCAGGTTAGACACCTAGTGCAGCCTATGTTAGTCACATCACAGGATCAAAGATGGCAAGTCTGCCATGACAAATTTTCGACAATAGTCTAGTTTGGTTCTGTAGAACGAAACCAAAACACTCAGTTTTGTCTTTGGCTTGCTGTACAGGAAAAACCAAGCACGAGAGACAGGAGTGTATTGGAATTCCGAATGGAATCCAATGTTTGTATTCTTTGTCTCAGCAGTGCAGAGAGCCATGACCACCACTTATCCAATGGAATTCTCTACAGTGTGGATTCCACACGGTTTGTATTTCGGTAGGGTAGTTGGTCCTAACCAAACCCCTTCTCTTGTTTGGCTCGAGAAACCCAGGAGTATTTTGGTCTTTTTATGGAGGCGTGCTATTTCACCGGTAGGCTCAAGGGTTCGAGCCTTATAGGAGGGAATGGTGCTAGAGCGAATAGTTAGATGTGGGACTGTTGAGTTGAAATAATGATGACCTAGTGCTACCAGGCCCAAGGGTTCAAGCCTCATAGGAGGGAATGGTGCTAGAGTGAATAGTCAGATGTGGGATTGTTGAGTTGAAATAATGATGACCCAGTGCTACCAGGCCCAAGGGTTCGAGCCTCATCGGAGGGAATGGTGTGATCGTTGGAACAATTTAGGTGTTTGGAAGATGGGGCTCTCGGATGCTCATATCATTGCTCTGGTTTACGTACATACTACATATTTTATGTGACTCTTTTATCTCTTCAACAATTCACTCATGAATAGAACTTGAAACCATTTTCTCTTCGTGTGGATGCTACTACACATGTTAAGGAGTCTAGTGCTCTCGTCCTCTTTTTCATTAGTTTTTGTATAGAAAACACGTACATGACGCCGAAAATGACATTCACGGTATCAAAGACACAATTTTGCTACAAGTTCAATTACTTCTTTTGGATTGACACGGAGGACACAACTAAATACAATCGAAACACGTTTTGAGACATTGGCCGATAAATTTGCAAATATATATTTTTTAAATTTATTATGTGGCACAGCTCTAATTTCAGAATTTATTGGAGTTAAAAAAGTAAAAGAAAAAAAAATTCTCCAACTCTGATTAACTACAATGACTTAAATAAATTATCTCATGGAACTAATTTACCAAAACAAAATTTATGTCATGGAATTAACGAACTTATCATATTTTTATCTTTCTAGATAGATAATCTACCATATATATTTTATATATAAACACAGAGCAACGTACATGAAAATTGCAGTCGGTCAATGAAGTGTGAGTCGTGTGACAGCGATATCAAAGAATACTCTTTTCCAAACTCCTTCTTAATTTGGTGGAAAAGTCTGCTAAAGACTTGTAAAGTCTTCTTAATTTGGCTGAAAGAATACTCTCTATTCCTTTCCTTCCCTTAGCAGTGGGAAGTACTGTCTCTTTGATTTTGCCCATAGCAAAAAAAATAAAAAATAAAAATAAAAATAAAAATACCATGTACCGTTCTCATCTTAGAATTATCACCAGTGTCTATCTCTTCCACCTTCTTGTGTTTACCAGCGCGAATGACTCGCCTGTCCGATATTATCCGGTAGATAATGTTGAAGCTGAAATCCACGCAGTCCGATACGGCACCGTTTTCCTGCAAGGAAGAAAGGAGAAGATCGATGAATCTTAACGGCACCGGTGTGGTGCCTGCCAAGAGCTCTCCGTCGATCAAGTTAATCACCGAAAGTCTAAAAAGAAGGCAGAGATTTAATAATAATTTTTTCGTCGTACCTTATTTCCGAGTTGTTTTCCATTTATCGTCACTTCTCTTATCTTGATAAGGGAATATCATAATCTTTATCCCATGGAACTTATCCAATGGAAATCTTATCCTTAATAAGATTTGTCATTATCCCATGGAATTTATCCAATAGAAATCGTTATCCTTGATAACGAAATATTATCCTTGATAACGAAATAGAAGAGATCTAGTGGTTGGT